CTTCAGGATTTATGCCCAAAGATATTAGAAGAACCCTGTAATCTCTCTCCAGGATACAGGCCCCTGGTACATGTAGAGGATATTTGTTTCTTGGAAAGCCACTGTGGATTGTTGTTTCCTCTGAAGCCTCCCCGTCCTCGGAGGAGTTATAACACTATACATCATGGCTTTATTTGAACACTGTGTTTTTTCATCCAACAATACTTCACTATATTAGAAAATTGAAATGTAGTGTTATATTGTCAACCAACCCTTTAGGACAAGGGGCACTGTTCGAAATGAAATACCATCATTTCCTTTAAAATGTCCTAAAAAATGAGAAATGGCCCAAATTCAGCAAACACAAGCACTGGCACTCGGTCATTACTGTACAATAAAAGCCATGTCAGTACTACATGCTGCATGTCACTGCTTGTCTGCTCTGCGTTTGGTTTCCTCTGTTTGTCTCCGTCTATCGGCGCGGCGACAGCATGACCTTGTTGATAAAGTTGACGATGGCAGAGGCTGGTTGTTCGGGGTCCAACTCGGCAAACAGGTGGCAAACGTTCTCTGCCAAGCTGCCCGGCTTCTTGGCTACGAAACCAAACACCCTGACGGGGGGGAGGGTCGAGAAAGAGGAAGAGATGACAAGTTACTGAGCATGAGAGGAAGCGAGACATGTAGTTTGTCTTGTAGGTAAGGTAATACGGTGTCTTTCTAACAGCCTACAGGGTTAACTACAGTGAAAGAATTAGTATTATGTAATATGGGGTCACGTGGGACTTGATTTTCATTGTTAAATCGCATTTGCTGGAATGATTTTGCCAAGGCTCTCTCACAATCCGATGCCATGCAGAGGCCCTGATGTCACTGACCTCTCAGCCACGGGTGCATCCACACACCCGTTCTTAAAACACATGACACACATGCACACTCTCCCTTTCAAACACAAACAGAGCACTTACTTAACACTGCTGTTGTCTGAGTTAGTCCACCTAAAGCCAAAAGAGAGAGAGACAGAAACCAGACTCAGACACACACACACACAGCTGATGCAGCTGCAGCCGGCATGCTGGCAAACATAATGACCCACCTGTCATGCACACTCGCATTTACACGCGCGCTAACAAATGCACTCACAAAACAGACGCACAGATCCATGCGAGGGCTCGGAGCGACAAATGCAATGAATGATCATGGGTGCAATGAACGACTGGTGATTTCTGGTTCCAACTACAGCTACAAGAATCAAAGATCCCCTGTCTTTGAGTTGCCTACCTCCGGTCTTTGGGGTCGATGCTGCTGAAAGTTACGCTGTTCACTGGGTAATGTCTCCTGAAGAAAACTCTAGAAGAAGACATACAGATAGAGCTTACACTCAAGAATAAGGTCACAGAAAGAACAACTGTATGTAAGGAAGATAAAAGGCGAGTACTAATGTCTGACCTGCGCTGGCTGTCGGTCAGTGTGATGCCCTGCGATGTCACCTTGAACTGGACTACAGTGGCGGCGGGACGCGGGTTACGATTCAGGGACGCATCTGTTGCCTTGGCGATGGCCTGGGGGCCGGTCAGAGACTCGGTTTCCACGGAGTTCAGGTAGAGGACGTTACAGGCTGAGGGGACAGAGAGAGAGAGAGAGGAGACTTACAAACATTACAGCAAATTCTTGATGTATTATTTCCATCTTTTCTTTTCTTGATATTTAGGTTTGCAGCAATATTGTAGTAGTAGTAGTATTTTGTTTTGTACCTAGTCTCTGTAAAGTATATACATAATAATGTGACTCAGGTGGAATCTGCAACATAACAGGACAAGGACAGGATGGAGAGCTCACCTGCTCCTTGTTTCAGCAGGTCAGCAGCCGTGCTGATGTTACTCACTGGCTGAACCTCCGGCACCTCTCCTATCAGATCTGACAGCATGGAAATCACTTATATCAGATAAAAGTTCATTTGCTGTAAAATACTTGTTCTTTCCTAACTGTAAGGTTTAAAGGAGCATTTCATGCCTCATTTGACATATGATCAAATTAGAGCAACAGAAAAAGAATCTAATAATAATTTTGACAATCTTTTTCTGACAGCTCATAAAACAAAATAGTTCACTGATAAAATAATAACTAATAATCATGTGCCAACCTTTTTCTGGGATCTTAAGAGTGCAGGGCAAAGAGATGGGCGTGATGGAGTGTTGGTAGACTAATGCAGAGAGACTCCCTGTGGATAACAGACAGCAGTGTAAAATCCCTTACATTCCCAGTGGTGGAGTGAAACAGAGACATGAAAAGCATCCTGAAGCTGGAGAAGGAAAACCTACCAAAGTACGGCTCATTCTGACATCCCTTAATCTTGACTCCTCGTGGGCCTGTTTCTATCAGGAAGTGTCTGACCAGCTGTTCCAGAGGGTCGGTCACTGTAACAGCAGAGATTTACAGTAAACAAGTTGCTAATCTCATCGTCTACCAAGGACAAAGCTACTTCGGAATGAGTGAAATGTGACATAAATAGCCTGAATGACTAGACTGTGCTCCTGCTGAAGAGAAGGAACAAAAATGTGATATTAGATATTGAAATGTACCCTTGCTGTTGTGGTTGTTGACATTGGGAGGAGGTGTAGCCACCTTCAGGGCCAGCCCATAGGCCCCCTGGAAAGAGTTACTGTCCCTGATCAGGAAGGTTCCTGGCTCTCTCTCCTTCAGAGCTGCGATTGCTACAGCCAAACACAACCAAAGAGTTAGGATATGTATGCACTGGGGTTCTCAAACACAACGTGTTGGATCGAAGCAAACAGAGCTTCACCCTCTCAGACCTACCTTGCTCTCTGGAGATGCCCGGCTTGTACCAGAACCTTGAACTGTCCTGAACAAACTTCACACTGACCCTATTCGCATTCTCAGTCTCCACAGACGCCTCTCCATCATTTTGGCCAGCGGGTGGTGCAATTTCCCCCACAGTGGGAGAGAACGTGACGTGGTGCTGATGCTGGCCGGTGCTGGAGGGAGGCACTTGGCCCACAGCTGGCCTGAGAGTTCCGACCCCATCGCTGGGTGATCCTGACTGGACGGGCGGGTGGCGCTTCTCTGGCAAAGGTGGCTGGGGGTGAGGAAGGGGGATGGAGATGGTGGAATAGTTGGAGTAGGATGAAGGGTGGAGCTGAGGAGTGTGAGCGGTGTAGCCGGGCCTCTTGTGAGTGTCCAGAGCGGGATTGTGTCCGGCAGCGCTGTGCTCCATGCCTGGGTAGTGGTGGTGTGGGGGCCCGTGGTGCTGGATGTGGTTTGGATGGTGGGGGTCGGACCCACTCAACATCAACCTCCTACCCAAAGTGGCAAAGCCAGGAACTGGTGCATCAGAGACTGGGGAGCCCTCCATGCTACTGGAGGCAGGCTGGGGGGGTGATGATGAAGCTGGGGTGTGAGATGTGAGGCCAGGGGTGATGATGGGTTTTGGGGCTTCTGGGTGAGGTTCCCTGGTTGGAGAAGATGCGACGACCTGAGCTGGGGTCGGTCTCGTCAGTCCGGCGGCTTGAGTAAGGGTCTGGCTCTGAGGCTGGGACACTGCCTGTGCCACAGTGGAAGGCAGAGCAGCAGCCTCTGAAGGATGGGGGGTCTGGGGAGTGAGAGGTTGGGAGTGTGTATCTGGAGATGAAGTATGAACGGGCGACGAGGGAGCCTGGCAGAGTCCCTGGTTTGATGCGGTTGGTGTCGCAGAGTCAAAAGAAGAGGTGTTCTGCGTTGTTGAAGCTGATGGTGTGTCTGTACAGTGCTGCTGTTGGGGAGTGGTGGGGGGCGGGTCTGTGGGTGCAGTGCAGTGGTTGTGGGGTTCTGTTTGTATAGGTGTGGTCGTGTGTGACTGTGGCTCTTTGGCAACCTGCGGCAGGGATGAAGGCTCTGTGCTGCTTCTTTGGCTCTCTGGGGATTCCTGGACAATAAGATCAGCACGATAGTGTCCATCCTGAGGCTGCGAGGCCTCGTAGTCACTGCTGAGGATGTCTGTGGTCCGGATCTCGTACTCTCTCCCTCCTGGACTGGGGCTTAAGCGGACAGATATGAGAATTACTGTCACAGACCTGCTTGGGATGTAGTGAAATGTTTCTAAAATTTCTACTCTGACCTACTTCTTGAATTTTTATATAGTCATCAATACCTAATTTTTTGCTGTAACATGCGATCTGTATCTGGTGCACGTCACCAGCAGTCCAAAAACAGAAAAAGGGAAGTTAATTTAACACTAACAGTGACACAAAAATGCTACTGTACCAAGAAAGAAATCCATTATTCATCCGGTTAGCTGATATGTTGCAACTGTAGTCAGGACAATCACATGTACAGTACTTCCTATTCATTTTTTGCTTGAAAGCACAAACACTCGTCAGAGTTACTTCATAACAGCTGTTTCTGGTTAAACAAAAAGGATATTACTCTTTAAAAAAAGGTATATCTCTTTCCATAATCTTGTCAGATATAACAATCTGAGCCCGTCAGTGGCAAAAACGAGCACTTTTAGTGGGCGCACAGTGATGTTGCACAATTGCCCTGAAGGATTACATTGCAGTCAGCTGTTGCTCTCTCACTCAATACTCGACCAACTTAAAAACGTGGTCCCCATTAGCCACAAGCTTCCCTTGACCTGGATCATGGATCAGATGCCGTTGTTGAGATCATGTATCCAGATCTCATGGTAATACTAGGTGTAAATGGGGTGTAAAGTCACCACAAAGGCCTTATTAGCATTTCCCCGGGTAGATGTGTATGAGCAGCCAACTCTGGTGGCAAGGAGCACTCCAACCGACACTAATTTCCTTTTTAGTAGACGAGTAAATGTGGAATACCTTTCCTGTGTGCGCAGAGGGCTGCTGGTGTGGACAGGAGTGGGTGGTCCAGACATGTCAGACGGCGTGGAGCATGCAGCGTGGCCATCTCTGTGGACCCTCTTGAAGGAACCATGGGCAATATGATCCCTCCAGCCCACACTTTCACCAGAGCTCCGAAGGCCATCTGGAAAGATAAGGAACAACAGATTGCATTTACGTAAAGTAAAGAGACATTATCGACTGGGGTCATATAATGTCTTTTGCTGCCAATGTTTATTTGGTTTTTGGGTGTTAAGTTGTGTAAAAACCACAAAAAGGCAAGATGAGGCAGTTTGTGAGTAATATGTAAGGCATCTGTCGAGTTAAGCACAAATTATTGGGTGCATGCTGCTCTTGATTAAGGGTAATTCTTTACACTCCCAATTCCCGTTGCTGAAGGAAAACAAATGTCTGAGTGTCTCTGTTTTAACGTGACTCACCAGTGTGTGAGTCAGAGCCGTATGACTGCTGCGAGTCTGGATGGTGATGGTGGTGGTTATGGTTATGCTCTCCAGGCCCGTTGCTATGGCTACAGGGCCCGGTCATGGAGGAGGCCGGAGGCAGTGGGGAGGTGGACTCTGACTGGTAGCCCGAGGCGTAGCCCCTGCTTTCAGACGGCGAGGGCTGGTAAGGTGAGCAGGGGCACACCTGGCGGGGCGTTTGGTAACCGCTGCTGCTGCTGCTGTACTTCAGGTCCAGGTGGGAATGAGCGTGGGACCTCGAAGCCTCTGGGTAAGCCGGGTGACCTGATGGCAAGGGGTCAAATGTGAAGGCCGGAAGATCGTGACCCTGTGGGCCGTAGGAGGCAACAGTGGCTCTCCTGTGCCAATATTCGGCCTCTCTGTCCCTCTCCCACTGCAGCTCAGCCTCCCTGTCTCTCTCCCAGTGGAGGGACAACTCCCTGCCTCGTCTCAGCCCAGGATCCCTCTCCCAGTGGAGCTCTGACCCTCTGGGTAATTCTGCCTCCCTGGGTCTCCTAAGCCCCACCTCCCTCTGCTGAAGCTCCGCCTCTCTGTCCCAGTGGAAGCTGTCATTTCGGTCCAGCCTCAGGCTGTGATAAGCCGCAGAGTCTTCTCTCCTGATGCTGCAGTCTCTGCACGGGCAGCCAGGGGGTGGCAGACCATCCATTAGCATTATATCATGGTAGGTAGGGCTGGTGGAGGGTTTGGGGTGGTGTGGGTGAGGATGGTGGTGGCTGTGAGGAGGGTGGTGGTAGGGGCCGTAGTCGTCTTCCCGACAGTAGAGGCGACCGGGGCCAGACAGAGGGTGGTGATGTGGGTGGTTGTGAGAGTGAGGGGTAAGGTCTGGTGATGGGTATGGGCAGATGTGTCGAGATGAGGGAGCCTCGGAGCAGGAGCGGTGTAGGTAGTGCGGTGGGCCACTCTGGCGGTCCCACACGAGGTCGGGAGGTGGAAGGGACTGGTGAGAGTGGGGGCTGTAGTGCTGGCACAGATCCATGTGTGACGGAGGAGCAGCTGGGTTGGGGCTGGCCGAAGGGGTCGCCCCATGGTGCCCGTTGGTGCCAGGAGCCCGATCGAGGCAGTAACCATTAGGCATGAGGAGAGTGCGGTCGCAGCCAGGCTCGGCACAGCGCTGGGACCGGTAACCATCCCGGCAGGAACAGGACCGACTCAGCCTCAGCGTCCCAGTTCTCTCAGAAGGCAAAGAATCTCCATCATCCAAGATGGCGGTCTCCCGCTCTCCATCTCGGTTTCCCTCTATGCCTCCGAGAAGACGTTCTAGCTCCTCTCTCTCCTGTCTGGTTGGGGGCGGCGGGCGAATGGGCTCCTCCTGGCGGTCGGGATGGATAGATGGTTGGTTCAAATGCATGGAATGGGCTGAGAGGGCGGAGTCAGAACCTTGAGAGATGAGATGATCTGGCCTATCTTCAGCCGCCGGGTTGCTCCCATTGGTTGAAGTGAGAGAACCAGAGCTTGGACCTCTGCGCTTCTTTATCTGAGCGTAGAGACTGCCATCTACAGGACCTCTGGTGTGAGCAATATCTAAGACAAGAAGACAGTACTCATTAGCCATTTATAGAGCCAGTTATGAGCCTAATATTTCAACTATCAGCTGTAGTGTTTGGTTGTCCTTTCATTTCTACTTGAAGACTAGGCGGCCTGCTTTTGGAAATGACTAGGATCGACAGTCTAGGGTTAGGGTTAACAGAGCTGGAAGTTTAGGCAAAAAGTGTTCCTTCCTGTAATTATCCCTCTTTAGTGATCACCTAACATTAAGCTGAGATGGGATATGGAGAAAAAAGTTAGTGTGTTACCCTCCAGGCTGTCCTGGTACCGCTGGTTAAAGTTCTCATAGGAATCCCAGCGAACCACTGGGTCAGCAGTGTTGTAGTCGACTGTGATAGCTGGGTCATTCTTCTGGTACTCACGCCCTGAGGAAAGACACATTTGATTTATATTCATTTGCATTTGTTTCCGTCCTTAAAGTTTCCCTTCCACTTTTGAAGCAGAACAGATATTAAAGGTCCAGTGTGTAACAACAAGGAGGATCTATTGGCAGAAATGGAATATATTAATCAGGTATGTTTTCAGTATAATCATCTGAAAATAAGAATTGTGTTTTTGTCACTTTAGAATAAGCTTAGTTTTTATCTTGGAAAGTGAGTGGTATTCAGTCTGTTGCAATCTGCAACTTCACCACTTGATGCCACTAAATCCTTTAAGAAGAATTTGAAGTAGAGTGAACCAACCTTTGATTTTCTCAGGTCCAGAGGAGAAGACAAACTCCACTGTGGCATCAGACGGAAAACGCTCATCTGGGTAGAAGAAAAAGAAAAAATAGTCAACATAAGTCAATAATGTATCAAAGTTCTCGAAGATCATGTTAAATAGCTTTTTCTAAGATATGCTTATGGAATGTTTTAAATTCTCCCTACATTATAGTCTTCAAATGTAAATGTAATCCCTTCATGAGACCCAGATTTATGAAAGTGTTACCAGTTATTGGTCCAGGCCCATGTTCGGGAACCCCCGGAAAGGAATCAAACTGTGTTTCTGCTCTAATATCAAATATACTAATACTTTCCACAGATGTCTTCTGAGTTGCACAAACTGTGTTTATGTACATCGGTAATGCTTCATTTAGTGTAATGGATTGACAACCATGTACACAACTTGCTCTGCTTCACAGACATGCATCTCAGCTACATGTATTCTGTCATTTCAGAGAAAGTTAAACCGAGGAGGAAATGAAGTAATGAGCATATTCATTACGGACTTAAGCAATAGACCAGTGCTCACTAGGCCTCCTTTACTCTCTCTGAGGGACAGTAAGAGGCACTCGCTCCCTGCATACAGTGCAACTCATTCTCAATATACTCGCCCCCAAAGAGCTGTTATTATGTCCAGGATGAGGATTAAGCTACTACTATTAAGGGATTTATGCAGCCACAGTCTTATGAGGCCATTATAGGTAGCAAACCACTGTGAACGCTTTCCCACAATGCTACATTCCAAAGAGCTGCTATTATGTCATTTAGTTGTATGTGGTGATTATCCTATAACAATTAACAAATTGTGCCTAAATGATGAGCGTCCAAAATCAGGAAAATCCGATCCAGCGTTTAGGAAACAATATCATTTATCCTCACAAGTTTCAAGTGGGGCTATGGAACTTTTGAAAGAAAAAGTAAAAATCAAAAGTTGAACTTAATAAAAAACATCCTTGCTCACTAATATGCACTCAGGTTTTTTTTTTTTGCCACTCAAGCCTTTTTTGATCTGTTATGGCCCGTTAGCTCATTGTGGGTAATGTTGGCTGACTTTACATAGATATTTCTGCATGAACTGACATTACTGAATCAGTTTATTCACTTCAAATACTGTGGAATAGGTACAGCCCACTCTAATGTTTTTGGACAAAACTGCCATATTGTCTGATTTCTAAAAACATCTTTCTCCACCACCTACATAAACTTACCAGTAAAAGCTTCATCCAGCTCCCCTTTGCCAAACCAGAGCTGGGATCCGTGGATGGTGCAGGTGTGGAACTGTAACCTGAACACAGTGTCTCTGTCAGCTCCCTGGGCCCGCCTATGGTAGCATTTGACCTGCAGAGGGCAGCAGAGGAGGAGGAAGGGAGACTGATCTCAATGCATGTGGGATAATGAGGAGTTTGAGCAGTAAATGTAGGGCTTTGCGTTCCAAAATGAGTGACACCTACACTTTTGAAATGACTGAGAGCACAAAATGGACAAATTATGATTACTTGTTAACAAAGTGACAAAACCCTTTTCCAGACCAAAGTTTATATTTCATTTCTTTCTGGGGACATGGCAACTTTACCAAAGTTTTTTAGTATATGTACTAGTCATTTGTAAAGTTTCTTCTGTTTTTAGATAAAAAGTATGAAGTATGTCCCCACCCATGTCAAGGGTCCTCTGTTTGTCATTTCCTTTGCCAATTGAACTCACCATGATGTCACCCTTTAGCAGCAGCGCCGGTTCGATGGTCACACACAGGCGCCTGCCTCCAGTTCCTTGAAGGTCACTGTAGACAACACAATGTCCACAAACAAGCCTGTTAGATAACTAAAAAATACAAGCTTACAAGACACAGTATGTGACCAAACATAGACGAACCAACACTGTCAAAGATTGGTTAGTGTGTTCGTATGTTGTCACAGACTACTGTAAATAACACAAATACAGTTTGTGACAATGTGCAATGTACATTTCTAAATGAATGATTGATTGTAGCACCATTTTGATCTACAGTCACACTGATTAACTTGGAAAGGCTTTAAGGTAAACAATAAATATACGAGTTAAAAGCTGGATTGAAGAAGAAAGATGCCCTTTGTGTAATTTTTTTCCACTGCTGTCTCTTTAATTACTCTGACAGTGTTAAAACCTCAGCTCATGAAAGAAAACACCCCAGGGCCAACAAATAAACAAATACACCCCGGGCTCATCCGCCGTATCAGTTGGCCATATGACAGAAAGAGAGACTCACTATATGCCTGAAGTGTAGACCAACTGCATGGACTGGTAGATCTTCAAGAAGGGGTAGTAACCTAGAAGAAGGGGAGAAAAATTTAAACATAGCGAGCATTATCAACATGAAGACAGAGGAATGTGCTGACGGCCACCCCCGCCTCCTGGACTTGATCATCAGATTAAAGATAAACAGACTAGTTTTTGTGTGGGTGGAGGGTGAATGTGACCATCTATGAGAACTGCAGTCAGCAACGTTGCTGTGATTCAGCAGCGAAGGCCTGCCAGAGCCTGACGCCAAGACAAACATCGCATATACATTTTTTTACATGACATTTTATCTGCACACAAAGGCATACATCTCAATTCATGTTTCCCTTCATTATGTCTTAGTCTACTCCACTGAAGATGTGAGAGAGAGGGATGGAGGAAAAGATGGAATAGCAGGAACAAGGAATCCAGGAAACATGTTTGTATGAATGTATTGATATTCTGTATGTAAAATGATTAGGAAATAATCTGGGTTATGATTAAAACGTCTCCCAATTTGTAGAACCAATAAAATAGGCTGCATGTTCAAGTAAAGGCATAGAGATGTACCAGACTTGACACATGCATTCAGAACAGGCACATACAGTATATGTTACAGTAATGTACAAACAATCATACCTCCTTCGCCCTGGAAGTTGGGGAGTGACGGGATGAGAACTTGGTGGAGGAAGAGAGGGCTGCTGTTCATCTTGATCGCCCCGGACAGAAGGCCCCCAAAGTAATAGATATATCTGAAAGAAAGAGAGAGGGAGTAAAAGAGATCCTAGTAAGTGAGATATAAATTGGCAATAAGAATAACAGATGGAGGCTGAGATCGTGAACAAACTAAATCTTTAAGAGAGAGAAGAAAACTGCACACAGCCCCGGAGCAGACGATACTGTTGTCAGATAGCCAACGAAAGTGGTTTCTTCAAAGGGGAAAGTGAGGCAGGTAAAAAGAAAAGAAAACATATCTTGCTGAGTCTAAATATTTCACTTTTCCAAAAACTATCTGCCTGTCGGTGGAGAAAATATTTCTTGCGTCTGCCACAGTTGAACTTCATTCAGGAACATTCTTGAATGAGTTGTCATTTTCTTGACACTAGTTTAGTATATTTAGTATATTTGTATGTTAAACAGAGCTATCAAATGAATAGTTTCGGGAAATAAGGTGACTTGTTTTCTTGCAGAGACAGATGACGTATGTAAAAAAAAAATAATCATGTAATGTGTTAAATAGAGTAGCAGTTGACACAAACAATGTATTTTATTTATAAAGGAATAGTTTGACATTTTGGATAATTAGCTTACTAACTTCCTTGCCAAGAGTTAGATGAGAAGATTGATATCACACTCATGCATGTATGCTAAATTTGAAGCTACAGCCAGGAGGTTAGCTTAGCTTAGCATAAAGACTGTAAGCAGGGGGTTACAGCTACCCTGGCGCTGTCCCAAGTGTAACAAACTCCATGCAGCAACACCTTTAAATCTTACTAAGTAACAAGTTATAGCTTATACTTGTTTACAAACGCATTTTTCCTTCGGACAGACAACTTATGCTAAGCTAACTTAATCCCCTCCAGACATATATTAAGACATATACAAATAGTTGGCCTGGAACAATAATGTGTGTCTGATATGTTTTTTGTGCAAAAAAAAAAAAATTCTACATTAAAATCCTAAAAAACGACATCTACTCCTTCTACCTCATTAAATATTCCAGGATCTCTGAATATGCAAATGTTGTTCATTTCTAAAGTTTTCCTGTTGGAAACACGATGTCTCCTACTTCACTGTAAAGTCCATTCTCAGTGGATGTGCACTGCTGGCTTCAAGTTTCTACCTCACAC